GTTGGACGTGACTGAGTGACTGAACAACAACAAAAATGTACCACTAACTATATGCCTAAGTAATGTTTTATCTTACTGAACAGTTAAAATCTTTTATATGGCTTATCTCCACCTATTAGATTGTCAGCTACTTGAGAACAGGGATTATCTTGAATTTCTTCAACACTTAACACAGTGCTTTGCACATGGCAAGCACTTAACAAAATTTCATTCATTCGTTCATTCTTTCCCCTATCCAGGCTCTCTCAGTGTCTGCTTGGTGATGCTAACCTACTCTTCCCTACGTGGAATTCCACCCCTCACATGGGTATAGTAGCTCGATACAATGCATTCTTATTAAATGGTCTTTTTATTCATTCATTCATTCATTCACTCACTCATTTATTGAGCTTTCTGTTCAAGTCTCAGGGTCCCCAGGCTATTCTGCAGTGTGTGGTTTAGATGCTTAGGCTATAGGTCTCCTAGAGGGAGATTAAACACCTTCCTGACTTCTGCTTGCCAAGGCCAATACCTCCTAAAGTAGTTTACTTTCAAAGTCTTTGCTTTGGTCAGAATAGATACTGGAGGGAAGACATATACAAAGCATTTATTAAGGATCTACTATCTGCAAGGCATTATGGTAGGTTCTCAGGATGGGAAGACAAAATGAAATTGCCCCTGCCTTAAAGAGTTTATATTATAAAATAAACACCAAGTGACTTGAAGGCAGGGGAAAATAAATAATTAAACAAATAAACAAACAAATAAATGAATAAAAATAAATAAGTAAGTATACACACACACATATACACATAAATATTCCATGGGAAATAGCCAATAGTCTAGTTTTGTTGGAGCAGAGAGGCAATGGGGAGTAATGGGAAATCATTCTTGAAAGATTGGTTGGAGTCGTACTGTGAAGCCCTCTGAATGCCAGAGGAGTTTTCATTTTATCTGACAAGCAATAGGGAGCTCTGGTAGCCATGACTTTAGCCAAAGAGAGGGTAAATATCTGGGGTATTCAGAACAAAGTAGATGTCAAGCTTTATCACTACTACATCTGTCTCAGTTTATGTCTGAATTTCTTATTTAATAGTGTGTGCCTATTGTCTATCACTCCCCAGTCCAAAATCTCTGGTGCTGGTTTTTCTGTCTTTATGTGTGATTTAGTCCAGAAATCTCTAGAGCTTGGGATGTCTCTGTTTCCCTATCTATCTTCTCTCCCTTACATTATACTCAGAAGTGGTCTCAGAAGTAGCAGCCCCAAGAGGAAGGAGGTGGCTTGAGTTTTTCCAGTCTCTGAACATAAGGTGTCTCTCAACTCCTACTCCAACGGAGCTTAGCAATTCCCTTCATAGCAACATGTTAGTTCTCCTCCCTCTTCCATAAGTTTTGTATTCTCCCCCTACTCTCCTCCCTCTCTTCCATCAGATTATTTAGCTTCTTATTGTTGCCTCTGTCACCTTCAGTTCCATGTCTAAGAAGAAAGTTCCTATTAGGGGGCAGGTATGAAAGGATATTGGGTTTGGATTCTGGGCCAGGAGATGTGAGAATAAGGAGAGGGTGCCCTATAGCAGGGAAAGATGCAGAGATCCTTGAGGAGACTTAAGGAGAAAAGAAGGGGGGTGGAGATCTCTTATCCAACTGAGCTCTTGGTTCTGGTTCAGAAGTTTTTTTTTTTAAATTATCTCTTGTAGAATTCTCACCCTTAAGCTCCAATCTATACCTATACCTCCTTACTCTTAATACTTGATCTTACTTTAGTGAGAAATGGAGTTCATGTTACATGTTACATTTTACATTACATTTACATGTTGTATGTTACATTACATAATTTCCATTATACATCATGTTACATCCATTATTTCCACATCAACATTTTTCTGTATCTTTACACTTTATTCTCCTTTCCTGTCTCTGAAGAAGAATTAACCCTCTTTCTTTTTGATGCTAATCTTTCTACCTGTACCCTTGATCCAATTCACTTCTGCTTCTTTTTGAATCAATGTCTTTCCATTATTTTTGTTATCTTTAGGCATTTAAAATCCCTCCTTCTCTAATATTCCCTTTCCTCATGCCTATAAACTAACATCAGTCTTCTGTGTCCTACAAAAAAACCCCAAATAAGTTTTCATGCATTCTATTATTTACTCAAATTCCAATCTGATCTTTCTCTTTCTCTTCACCATCATCATTCTTGCAAGAACATTCAATATTTTCTGCTTCCTTGGTTTCATAGAAAGACCATAGCATTTGGCACTAGGAGACTTTTCACTGGATATTATTCTGATACTGAAACCTCTGTGACCTTGACTAAGTCAGTTCCCCTATCTGGGTCTCATCCTATTCATATATAAAATGAAAAGGCTGGATTATGTGATGACTTAGGTCTCTTTTAGCCCTCAACATTTTGAACTTCTTTTTTAATCATTATGACTCAACTACATACATCATCATCAATAAGGATTTATTAAGTACCTACAAAGTGTCAGGTACTGTGCTAAACATTGGGAATATGAAGAAAGGCAATCCTCCATTCCCCACACTGTCTTTACCCTCGAGAAGCAAATCCTTGAGATATGATTGTTGCCCTCAATAATCTATGGAAGCTACTCTTTCGAAGGAAATAATGACTTCCTAATAATAGATGTTCATTCATAAATCCTAATGAAATCATGGTTTCTTATTAGACTTTAGTCTCCTTGACTTTTTTGAATCATTTAACACTGTTAGGTCAACAGTGTCACCTCATGCTTCTGGATATTTTGTCTTCCTGTAGTTTCTGTGATACTAGTGTCTCTGAGCTCTATTTTTAGCTCTTATGTCTTACATTAAAAATATATATATTTTTCAATTACCAAGAATTTGCCTCTTCTGTGACCATTCCTTCTCTGTCCTCACGGGATCCTAATAATTAAATAATCAAACATTTTTTAAGTGCTAAGTATGTACAAAACTGTTTTTTTCTTATTCCCCTAAATGTAATCATTCAAGGAGATTTTATCCTTGGCTCTCTTTTCCCTTTCTTTATTCATTCTTTCCCTTGGCAAACCCACTTACTTCTTTGGTTTCAAGAATGCTCTCCCAGCATATGATTCTCAAATCTATATCTTTGTCTAGATGGCACAGTAGATTGAGGATAGGATTTGAAATCAAGAAAACCTGATTTTGGAAATCAGTTGGACACTTAATGTTCGACTGTGGGCAAGTCATTTGAATTCTGTCTGTTTCAGTTTCCTCATCTGTAAAATGGGGATAATAATAACACCATCTCCTTTAGGTTTGCTGTGAGAATCAAATGAGATAATTTTTTTATTTGTGAAGTGCTTTGCAAATTGTAAAGGCCCTAGTTTGGGTGTACCTGTTTAGGGGCAGATTGGCAGACTAAATCAAACTATTTATTTTTACTGATTTGTTTTGTTTCTTAGCACACTCTCTCTGTGAACATGATGTCCTGTTTCCTTAGAACCCATTTATCCTATCTTCCATTTCTTCTGTCAATCTTTACCTGCCCTATCTTGTCCTCTTTTAGTACCCCCTTACCTGGCCCTTTCTGGTTTTCCTCCTTTCTAGGTCCAGAAAAACATCACGGTCTCAGGAGAAAACTAGAGACTATGCCCTTCCTCTATAGCAATAACATTTTTCTGGGTGGGGAGAAGGTAAAGATATGAATGGAGGAGGGTAGTGTAAGGAACCCTTAGGTGCTGAGTTTTAGACACCATCATGACATTTTCTTTGTGACCATTCACAAAAGGGGGTAGGATGGAGGTAATTCTCAGTCATCCCAGGAGTCTTCCATGAATAATAATTTCCCAAGTGATAGGGGACCAAGGGAGTGTAGGAAATATCCTTCTTTAAATATCTCCAAACCCAGTAAAGTAAAATCTATCTGGAATACTCTGAGTGAGGGGGTTTCTGAAGACAAAGGGTAGATAAAATGACCTTTTAAGGTCTCTTATAGTACTGGAACTCTTGCCCCATTTTCCTTTGTATTTTGAGGAATGTTTGTCTCTGATTCTCAGGTAAGAGAAAAACTTGCCTGGTCTCCTCTAAGGACTCATCTTTGGACAGTGCTAGTTTTAAGTCAGATGAAAGCCATACTTTTTTTTTACATGGACCCATGGTTTTATCTGACATTGCTTTTGTGGGACTCAAGAGAGGAATATGTTACAACAACAGTTTAGTGCTCATCTTCTACATACCCAAATTGTGTTAAATACTGGTGGCAGGTAGTGATTGGATAGAGAGAAATATATGACATAATCCCTGCCTCCATGGTGCTCTCAATCCAGTTGGAGAGATAGTACATCCGTGTGAAGCTGAGAACAATACAAACCAGTACACAATAAAGTGATATGTTGATACAACTAAGCTTCATGAATGTGCAGGTAAGAGGTGCTATGCACAGTCAAAAAAGGGAGAGATCAGTCTGGAGTTATGAGGGCAGGCTTCACAGAGAAAGTAGGATTAGGTTGTTATACAAAGTATGACAGAGCTTTGGATAGCCAAAGAGCAGAGGGTAGGGAGTTCTAAGTGGGAGGAACAGTAGAAATAAAGACTTGAGGGAAGAATGAACATGAAGTATCTGGAAGTGGAGGTGTAAATGAAGAGCAGTGGGAGATAAAGTTGGATAGGCTGTATGGGACAAGATATCTTATGGCATTGGCAGTCAGAGAGAGAAGTTAGGGAGCCATTGTAGGTTGTAAGAACAATTCATGTGAATAAGGTCAGGGTGGTTCTTGGAATATTTCTATAATCACATCCAAATGACAATTCTGTGGGGGCACCTATGTTCTGCTATGTACCTCTCTGCCCCAAACAAGTGCCTTTGCTTCTCTCACACCTATCACAGTGACCTGCAAATAATAAACATGTAGTAAATATTTATTGAATTGTCATTTTTGAAGTACACTTTGAGGTAATAGAATTTAAATCAGGTCAGAGTAACCTATTTCATTTCTTGCACTCTCCTTTTCCCTAATGTAGGTAGGGAGGCTTCTTCACAGATGTTGGCCAGGATCAAGCTCCTCAGCTGGTTCGATATTCTGCCTTATTTTTCAGAGTGAAGCCCAAATCCAACATGGTGAACACCAATCACACTGTCTTCCACCCTGCCGTGTTTGTCTTGCTTGGCATCCCAGGCCTGGAGAGATACCACATCTGGCTTTCCATTCCCTTATGCTTTACATATGCAACTGCGGTGCTGGGGAACAGTGTTCTGATCCTGGTCATTGTCACTGAGCATAGCCTCCATGAGCCCATGTACATGTTTCTGTCCATGCTGGCTGGCACTGACATCCTACTTTCCACTACCACTGTGCCCAAAGCCTTGGCCATCTTCTGGTTCCATGCACGGGACATCACCTTTGATGCTTGCGTGACTCAAGTCTTCTTTGTCCATGTGATGTTTGTAGGGGAATCAGCCATCTTGCTGGCTATGGCATGTGATCGCTATGTGGCTATTTGTGACCCACTGAGATATTCAATGATTCTGACATCACCTGTTGTGAGGAGGATGGCTTTAGCCATTGTTGTCAGGAGCTTCTGCATCATCTTCCCTATCATCTTCCTGCTAAAGAGACTTCCCTTCTGCAGGACCAATGTGATTCCCCATTCATACTGTGAGCACATTGGGGTGGCCCGACTGGCCTGTGCTGACATTACTATCAATATATGGTATGGCTTCTCTGTCCCCATTGTTACGGTGATCACCGATGTGGTGCTCATTGTAGTGTCCTATACCCTGATCCTCCGGGCCATCTTTCAGATGCCCTCTCAGGATGCTAGACACAAGGCACTCAGCACCTGTGGCTCCCACCTTTGTGTCATCCTCATGTTTTATGTCCCATCCTTCTTCACTTTAATGACTCATCGTTTTGGGCGCAACATTCCACGCCATGTTCACATTCTATTGGCAAACCTCTATGTGGTGGTGCCTCCCATGCTCAACCCCATTGTTTATGGGGTAAAGACGAAGCAGATCAGAGAGGCTGTGGCTCACTTTTTCATGGAGATCAAGAAGTGGTTTTCCTCATCCTCATTGGGCTGAGCTCTCCTTGATCACATTCTTCAGCATGTTTTTTTTTTTTCCTATGAAGTCAAGCTTTGAATAAAATTTCCTGATCTGGAAGGCACCTGCCCTTTTGGATGGTGTCTGTGTAATTCTATTCCTCCTTCAAAGAGATCATTAAGAGTTGTTATGCACATGGCTTTGTCTTAGAAATGATATAAATCAAAGTAATCATGATTTCTTTACCTTTTAAAAGAAAGACTTGGGTTCAAATCTTGCTTACACTCTTTCTACTTAAGTGACCATGGACAAGTCATTTAACTTCTGTGAACCTCAATTTTATTACCTTTATTATAACAATAACTGTCTGCTCCATCACTATCAATAGATTGAAGTCCATGGAGAGCAGGAAGTATTTCATTTTTGGTTTTGTATGTGCACTTCCTAGTACTGTGCCTGGCCTATAGCAGGTACTTAATAAATGTTTATTAATTGATAATAGCACCTACAACACCTAACAGAGGGGCCTTGTGGGGAATTAAATGAGACCATGTATGTAAAGTCTTTTCTAACCTTTAAGCATTAGATAAATGTTGTCTATTATTATTGTCAACATTGTTGTTGTTTTCTCCTTGCCATCTATCTTGATGGAGGTCAGATAGAACTAGACTTAGCAAAAGTCCCAATTCTATTATTCCTTTATGTTTAATGTTCTGTGGACTTTTCACAGATAAAGTGATTTTTTTTTGTGATTGGTAAAGGTATTGGGATGTCAGCTTGTGTTCTCTAGGATCAATGAAAGCATCTTCCAGACAACTCTGGTAGCCATCTGGACAACTGAGATGAATTTTTCCTGTTCCCACCAGGTTTTGATTTCTTCTTCTAGGACTATATTTTGAATGCTTTTCATTCCATGTAGTTTGCAAATTAAGAGTATTTAGTATGGTTTAATCTATTAAAATACTGTTCTTAAATGTTTATGGACCAATGCGAAATCCAGGCAATTGGGGGCAACAGTTTCATCTGTTTTTATGAACATTAACAGCCTATGGAACAAACTGAGAATGCCACAGGTAAGGTATGTCAACCATGTAAATGTATTTTATAACTAACAATGTTCCTAAAGAAAAGTAGTTAGCAGAGCAGCTTGGTGGTGCAGTGGATAGAGCATCAGCTCTGGAGTCAGGAGGACCTGAGTTCAAGTCTGGCCTCAGACACATAACACTCACTAGCTGTGTGACTCTGGGAAAGTCACTTAAACCCAATTGCCTCACCAAAAGAGAAATAGCATAAAAACAAAAGACATCAATAAAAATTTCTTTAAAATTCAACCCAGGTAAAAAGACTTTACAGCTGTCAAAGTATCACTGAGGACATAAGCTCAACATGCAGAATGTATGTATACATTCCTCAAACAGTCAATTTATTTGAAAAAAATACAATTATCAAGAATCTGTCAGTAAGTCAATAGGATTTATTAAAGCCCATATTAGTTGCCAAATGCTATGGGGGAGAGGAAGGATATAAGTATTTATAGAATCCTGTGAGGTAGATTCTATTATTTTCTTTATATTTACAGTTGAGGAAATTGAGACAGACAAAAGTTTAAATAACTTGCCCAGTGTCATATAGATAGTGTCTGAAGCTAGATTTGAACTCAGGTCTTCTTGACTTTAAACCCTGAGCTCTATCTGATGTGCCACCTAGCTGGAGAAAGTAATATTAAGAAATAGTACTGAGAGAATGGAACAGTCAGCATTTTTTTCAGCTAGTATATATCAGTATACATACCAGTTAATAATCCATTTGTATGGATGATTTCCTAGCAATCACTGATATGCTCATGCTTCAAACAAGGTAATTAATGAACAAACATTTATTAAAATCTTACTCTGTGCCAGGTACTTTTCTGACCTCTGGGGATAAAGCAAACAAAAAGAAACAATTCTGGCCCTGAAGGACTTTATGTTATATCAGGAAAACAACATTTATCCATATTAGTCCTTACAAAATATACAGAAAATCAATACATAAATATATAGCGCTTTCTTTTTTTGAGGGAGGAGACACTAAAAACTGAGGTGTTCAGGAAAGGCCTCATGTAGAAAGTGACACTTGATATGAGTATTGAAGGAAAGTAAGGATTCTGAAAGATATAATGGAGTAAAATGGCGGCCATATCTAGGGTGGAAGGAGGGAGAGGGAATAAAAAAAAAAAGAAAAGAAAGTAGAAAGTGTATTCCAGGCACAAGGAGAACTGTGCAAAGGCACAGGGATGAAAAGCCAGTTATTTCTCCCAACTATTCTCATTTGCTACTATGTTGCTCTTGTTGCATCTCTCCACTGGTCTTGTAGCTTCTTATTTTCTTGCTGTTGTGGGCTTCATCTCTGTAGGGCACCTGATGTTTATCACTATTCCTGCTTGTGAGGGTAAAGTGACTTGGAAGTCTCTTGCTGATAAATACAGGTTGTCACTGATGGTAAAAGAGTCATAGACATCTTGCTAAAACTTTTCCATGTTTTTTTCTATTTGTGATCCTCCTTCAGACATTTTCTAGTTTTAAATATTGCAGAGTAAGCTAGCTTAGATGAATCTATGATCAAGCCTCAAAAATAAATCTACAACCACTCAAAAGAATTTGGCCTAAGTATCCACTTAGGAAAATCAAAATGCATATAGAATATATATTGTCTCCAAATGATATGCAGTGGGATGGCTAGTCATGATGGGGATCTATTGGTACATATGAGTTGTACAAATAGTGTGGATAAATAATGTATCGGGCTTATTATTAAAGGAGATGAAAAGAATTGCCTTTGGAAAACTGTACAGTTCTTTTAATGACAAAGTTTCTTCCTGAAACAAAACTGTATCTTTTTATTACCAATTTGGGTTGGTAATCCCCATTTGGGTTGGAATGAGAATCCTGAAACACTGCAATACCTAAATAATTGAAATTGAGCATCAATTTCATCAAAGGCAAATGGATAGATGCACAGTAGACATGAAATGTTTTAGACATGTAGCTCTTTAAAAAGACTGAGTTTCCTCATTCTGTATCTCATCAAGGAGGGACCTTGAACAAAGCAACATTTCTGCCTCAGAGTTCTATGGGAGCCCTGAGTCATTGAAGATTTGTTTTTTCTATTACTATTAACTCATTCCCCCTTTCCAGCACATTTCCCCTTTTGATGTTGACTTCCAGTAATTAGCACCCCACTTTCCTTTAACCAGTTAAAATCAGATAGCTATTACAAAGGAATATTTACTAAGAAGATATAGTAAGAGTACAAGTACAAACATTTTCTCTCACACCTGGGGGAACTTTCTCCCTTATGCAACCTTATCCCTATGAGAATTGGGCTCAACCTGGAAGCAGCTGCTACAATTTATTTTCCCTATTAAGCTAACTTCCGAATGTGGCATGGGTGATAGAGGAGTCACTTTTGGAGCTTTCTTCTTCCCCCTTTCCTTCAATCCACATCTATTTTCAATTAAGCAGATTGGTTCCTGTGGACTCTTCTCCTTACTATGCTCTACTATCCTCACAATCCAGTGTGGATTCTAGTTTTCAGACTTTTGGAGGCTTACTCTCCCAACCTTTTAATGCTCACAAGGCTTAGTTGGAAATTTCTTGCAGAATAGTCAGGTAGTACAGTAGATAGGGTGCCGGACTTGCAGTTAGGAAGACCTGAGTTCATATCTTGCTTCAGACACATAACAGCTATGTGGCTATGGTCAAGTGACTTAACCTCAGCCTCAGTTTATCCATCTATAAAATAGGGAAAATAATGGCATCTGCTTTTTAGAGTTGTGAAGATTAAATTAGACATTATTGTAAAAAAGTGCTATTCAGTTGCTAACTACTACTACAACAACAACAACAACTACTACTACTACTACAACTACTGCTACAACTACTACTACTGCTGCTGCTACTACTACTACTACTACTACCACCACTACTACTACTACCCTTAGAGCATGGAAGAATAGATAAGAAACAACAGTGGGGTCATGCAGTCATGGGCCACATGGAGGCAGTCTAGATGACTAAATAAAGGCCTGTGGCTTCATTTCCCACCCAGAGTCTTATAGAACTTGTCTCAGTATTCACACACAGCCAGGGAGGAGAGAAAGCTAAATCATAGTTACTGCTTTTTGTAATTGTTCTCAGATCCTGTTTAGCAACTGGTTAAAAATCTTTTCTTCATATGGTAAGCAGATTAGAAAAAATACCTGTACGTGTTTGGAAATACACATGGGGATTGTATCAGTAGAAGATGTTCATGGGGACTACTCTTATTTCAAACACTACAAAGAATTTTGAGGTAGTACAAAGGATGTCATCAGAGAAATAAATAGGCAGAAATGAAGATTGAGCTGGACACGGGGAGAGTGATGAATACTGATAGTGCTCTATTGGCATCTTTGTGATGACAGATAAAGGTGAGGCAGGTCTATTGCACACTGGATACACTCTCTGATGGAAATATATGGAAGGATGTAGACAATAGTTGCATAGGATGGGCAGCATAGAGAGGCCAATAACTACATCATTAGAGAGAAGAGTCACACCAATTGAGATAATGGTTCCATTTAATTATTTGAATGTTTGAGTGTTCTTCCAGGCAGACTCCATGGCTATAAGTCATATACAATTAAAGAACTTGGGTTCAAATGCTAGCACTCCACTTATTACTTGCCTAACTTTGAGCAACGATCAAATTTGTGGATCATCAAAAGGGAAATGGAGAAGTGTATCATAGGTATGAGTAATCTGCAGCATATTACCAATGAAGAAGCACACAGAAGAAATAGCTTAAAGATAACATCAGAGAGATACGCAATTGAAAACAGAAGTGCTTCATCATTATGCAGCAGGAATGAAGGAGTGAAGTGTAATTGGTGAATAGTCTATGTGCTCCATTTCTACCTACACAACATGAAGAGATGTAGAGGAAGGCCCCTGGCTCTTTGGATAGACCCCTGTAGGCAGTTGATGAGAAAACATGGACGAGAGTTGCACAGAATGAGA